AAGAGCAGTCAGTGATCTTAACCGCTGAGCCATCTCTCCAGCTCCCCCCCTTTTTTTTAGACAGGGTCTGCCTGTAGCTCCAGCTGGCCTAGAACTCACTATGTGAGTTCTTTGATCACAGCACTTGGGAGGCAGAGGCAGGTAGATCTTTGTGAGTTCAAGGCCAGCCTGGTCTATATAGCAAGTTCCAGGACAGCTGGGGCTACAAGGAGACTGTGTCTCAAAAAGATTAAAAAAAAAAAAAAAAAAACTTAAGAAGGAAAGAAGGATGTACAGAGTGTTATTTTTGGATTAAGCATGTTAAATAGGAGTGGAAGACAAAATTCTCAAGAGGTCTTCCCTTGACTGCTGCCTCCTGGGCATGCAATCCAACACTAATCTAGACACTACTGTGAAGGGACTTTGCAGCTGTAACTAAGATAATGAATGGGCTTTAAGATAGGGAGATCACTCTGGATTACTCAGTGGGTGCAACCTAATCCCTTGATTCCTTAAAAACAGAACTGGAGCTAGAGAGATGGCTCAGCAGTTAAGAACACTGGCTCCTCTTGCAGAGGACTCAGGTTTGGTTCCCAGCACTCATACAGTGGCTGACAACCTTCTGTAGTTGTGGGGCAGGAGAGATGGCAAATACAAGCCTGCTGCCACCTTGAACTTTGAAACCAGGGCCCTCAGCCTGCTAGACAAGAATTCTACCATGGGTCAAACATACCCCTACCTTCCTAACCTATAGAACTGTGAAATCATAAACAGATGTAACATACTAAATTTGTGACAGTTTGAGGGCAATAGAAAGCACAAAGGTATTTAAGCGGCCTCAGTATCCTTATAGGTAGACACTATTCTGACCCCCACCTTGGGAGTGGATGAGGGAGCTAAAGCACAATGAGAATGCTCTGAGAAAGACTATAGGTAGGTTTCAAAAACATCCATTTACTTCTTTTAATAAGTTAAGACTTTTAATTAATTTTTTGCATGTATTTAGTGTGTGTGTGTGTGTGTGTGTGTGTGTGTGTGTGTGTATGGTGTGTAGGCATATACGGGGTACGGGCCAGGCATATGTATGGACGTTCTCTGCTTCCATCATGTGGTTCCCAGGGATTGAGCTTAAGTTGTTAGGCTTGGAGGCAGGCACTTTACCCACTCAGCCATCTATCCAGCCCCCAAAACAGTCATTCTTGGTGGAACTGTTTGCTACTTGGTTTATTTGCAGTGTAAACAGCACAACATTTAGAAAACATATTTTTGTACAATCAAATCTCCACTGCCCTTGCACACTGCGGTTGGGGGGTGGGGGGGCTACAAAAGACCTAATCCTAACAGCTATAAACAGTCCAAGATAATGAGTTTATGAATGCTTTCTCTTTCTTTAGCAAGCAAAATTGTTCATGAAGTAGTATGGTTCAGCTAAGGGAAGGAAAAGGAAAAAAATTACCTCAGAGAAAGCAACAGCTTTTCCTGGTGGGATCCGTCAATTTACAGACATGAAATATTCATATCAGAGATCTTATATTTTAAGAAGAATGGGTTACTTAGCAGAGCTACAATAAACATTTTACTCATTAGTCATGCAGAAATAGAAGACTCTCCTGGATACTGGTACTTCAAAACGTGCCACAATTTCTGAGCACTTTTGTTAGAAATCTAGGGACAACAGCCCAGACCTTTGGACCTCAAATTTCATGTTCATTATTGGCCTCTGAATTTCCTTAATGCTCTAGTTCAACATCTGAGACCTCCCTAAGGACTGTTCTGATTTGGGGGGACAGGGGAGGGCTGTATGGTGCTGGGTATGGAACCTGTGGAACATTGATTTTAAGTCAAATCACAGACTCAAGCAGTCTCCTTCCCTTAAAGGACCTAATTCTTAGCCTTTATAAAGGAGATTTTATTTATTATCTATCATCTATCATCTATCTATCTATCTATCTATCTATCTATCTATCTATCTATCTATCTATCTATCTATCTATCTATCTATCTATCTATCTATCTATCTATCTATCTATCTATCTATCTATCTATCTATCTATCTATCTATCTATCTATCTATCTATCTATCTATCTATCTATCTATCTATCTATCTATCTATCTATCTATCTATCTATCTATCTATCTATCTATCTATCTATCTATCTATCTATCTATCTATCTATCTATCTATCTATCTATCTATCTATCTATC